AAAGACATTCCCTCAGAGACCCATGCTTATTAGGTTAAGACTGTCACAACCCAATCATTTCACCTTTAAACTTTCCTGCATTTTCTAACACATGAGTTTGGGGGGAAACCCTCATATCTAAATTATAACAGCGCTTCCTATATAACTCTCCTACCTTTCTTTGTGCTATTCTTTTCTTTGTATAAGCCATATCAGCCTCCTTATCTTCCTGGAGTATATCACATTGTTTCCAATCTCAGGGCCTTTTCACATGCTGTTTCTTTTGCCTAGAATTGCTTCTTGCCTATTATTCATTTGGCTCACTGCTTTTCATTTTTAAGTTTCACCTGAAAAGTCACTTCCTCTGAGAAGTTTCCTTTATCTATCCAAGCCTAGGGGAGTATATTCCATTGTTATATGTTCTCCCAGCTCTCTAGCATTTCCCTTTTTTAGGTCACACTTCCTGGTAAATATTCATTTAATAGCTATTTTCCATCACACTGTAATTACCAAGAAGGTGGACATTTTATCTGTCTTCTTCACTTCTCTATCTGGAATGCCTTACAACATGCCTGACTTAGAATAACAGTCAATATATAATTTGTTCAATGAATGAATCTAATCCAGACTCATTTAAGAGATGGAAATATGAAGGTTCAGAAAAGGAAAGGGTTTTGCTCACACAGAGAATCAGGTGTCAGAGAAAAGATTGTAGCTTGGATCTCCTGACTCCTGGCACAGTTCTTTTTCATACATGAAATCCACTGTTGTACTCCTTCCTCCTGTGTGCCTATGAAACAGTCTGGGGCCTGGATTAGACTGTAAATTACTAGCAGGCAGGGTCCACATATTATACACATTCATCTGATACGGTAGCCACTAGTCACATATGGCAATTGAATACTGAAAATGTGACTAGTCCAAATTGAGATGTACGTGTGAATTTAAAATATCTCATTAGTAAATACTTATATTGTTCATAGGTTGAAATAACATTTTGGAAGCCTTGGGACAAGTAAAATACATTATTAAAATTAAATTCACATATCTATTTGAAAATTTTTGAAATTGGCTATTAAAATATTTGTGGCTCATGTTATATTGCTATTAAATTATTGTATATTTCTGCTCTGTTGTATATTTATTTTTCCCCTTGGTTCCAAAGAGAGCTTTGTAGCCAGTAGCTTCTCAACACATCCTTGTTGAATAAAGTTGATCTGTAGTTAGTGGGTTAACTGCTGCCACCTTTCTTGTCAATATCACCAGCTTTTCAGGGAGCCTCACAGTGTAACCTCTATCACAAGACTCAGGTGTGCTAGTTCTTCAATCCTGGCCTGAGGGTGCCCTACACATTGCATCAGCCTTTGGGTTTCCTCTCAGAGGAAGCCCCAGTGCAATCCTATGCAGAGCAATCACCAGGGTTGTGGTGAACATGTGGACACTTGTCTCTTGCACAGGAAGTGGCCGTAGCTTTGCAATTGCCCTGAGGCCTCTTCTTGAAAGGCTTCCAAAAGAAGGTGGGAGTGAGTTAGCTGGGAGATGGAACTCAATGTAAAGGGAGGGGTGCTTCTCAATTTCTTCATGGAGGTAAAAGAAGCTAAGGAATGTGGGGACTTGGAGCCATGAGGACTCCTTCTTTTACTTATGCACTGACTTTCATTTATTCAACTCACAGTTCTGGGGAAATTATTTGCTTCCTTGCCCTGGGAAGACAGTAAGGGATCAAAAACAGTCCTTAATTTTGGCAGTTTTTTTCCTCCCAGGAGCAATGTGGACAAGTTGTGGGTTTTTTTTTTTTTTTTTTTTTTTGCTTTGTTTTGAGACTAGAAGAGGGCAAGATACAGAGCAACTAATTTTGCTAGATCTTGCCAGGGAAGGATTTCTAAAGCCAAGGAGCACCATCGTTTCTCTCTATCCTTTAAGATACAGCCAAAATTGTATTCTTCTATGAACCTTTCTAATTTTCAATGCTTCCTTGTCCCTCACTCTGGAATAATCAAGTCTTTCTTATTTACTCTTCTGATGGCACTTTGTTAAATCACTTTTCACATTCTATAAAGTGACATAGCTCCTTGGGTGCATGCCTATCTCCCTTTCCCCTCTATCCCTCCATTTTATGTGGTGACTGAGGCTTAGACATGCTGTGTATGATTGTTCAAGGTCACAGAGTTAATGAGTTACAAATATGGGTCTATAACCCAGAGGCTATAACCTAAGGTCTAATATACAAGAACTCAGTTTTCTTTCTCCTCCAGCACTGAGTGACTAAATAAATATGTCTACAATGTGTATCCCTAGCATTGCCAGACTGCTTCCCTTGTCAGTTCTCTTCCCTTCTCTCTCATCTCCCACCACAAGAATGACCATGGCAGAGAGCATCAAAAATTGGAGACTTCATTGAATTTTAGTTGCTTTAAGCAACAGCTTGGACAATAGTCTTAAAAGAAGAGGCCTGTTTGTGCTATTGTTGCAAACTTGACCCTTTCCAACATGCTCTATGTATGTGGAGTAGAGAGCAACATCAAGGAGCCTAGTAGGTGGAATGATTTGGCTCCTAATGTTTTTTCATGGACCTGCTATGGACTCAAAATAGATACCACTAATGACTCTTTTAGACATTATCTCCAGAAGATTCTTGTCAAAAAGTAGAGTACTAGGCTGGGTTTGTGTCTGAATGGTAGAGTGCTTGCCTAGCATATGTGAGGCACTGGGTTTGATCCTCAGCACCACATAAAGATAAATAAAAATAAAGGTATTTTAAAAATTTAGAGTACTTTAATTGATAGGGCAGAAAATCTGTAGGTAGCTGAACTTACCCAATATGGTATGAGTTGGGAGGAGGGGGTCCCTTCCTAGCAAACTGCCCTCAGGACCATCCTGCTTCCGCCCAAGCTTTAGTCAGAAGCCAAAAAGAAACAGGAACCGAATCTTTCTAGAAACCAGATCTGGTGAAACTGGTCTCAAGGCCTAAGCCAATAAATTATTCTTGTAGAAGGAAATTTTTAGCAGAGTAGTGTGAATGCAAGCGAATCCTTATCCCAGGCTGTCCCCCAGAGCGTTAGGCTCTGTAACCACAGGAAGCTTACAGTAAGTGAAAAGGAATACAAATGGAAGGAATCATAAAGGAACCTGGGAATGTTTGAATTGGAAAGGACACCAAAACCATTTAGTTCAATCTCTAATGGTTAAATGGGAAAGAGCAGAGTTACAACTAGGGCCCAGGCATCCTGACTCCCAGGATGTGGTCTTTTCTTTTGAGCCTGAATTTATAAGATCATATAAATTGTATAATTTTTCACTAGGGCTCAAGTACTGCCCGTGGCCCAACTTGCACAGGGCAGACCAAAGACGTTGACCTGTGTGGGCACTGCAATCATTGAAGGCTGCCCCCCAAATATCCTGAAAACATTGTAGGACTTTCCCTTCTTATCCTGTGTGTTATTAGAATTCATGATGGAGAGCACTGCATAATGGGAATCCAGCATCTTTCTGACCGTGAATTGAGACTTCCCAGGAATTGAAAATACAAGGCTCTAGAAAAATAACTCAAACTTCTTCCTATGATCTTCATGTCCCTTACTCAGCCTGAAGGTCACACTTGAATTTAAGGAGTTGATACTATTTTTTTCTTTCTCCTTGTCAACTACTTTCGTCTCCCTTTCATGGATCCAATGTGGGAAGATTAAAAAAAAAAAAAAAAGCCTAACATTTGAGTCAGACCTTAATGTGGCTGGGTGTGGCTGAGGCAGCTGAATTGCAAGTTCCAGTCCATCTTTGGCAAGTTTGAGACTAATCATGGCAACTCAGTGAGACTGTGTCTCAAAATAAAGGATAAAAGGCCTGGGAATATAGCTCAGTGGTAAATTCCCTGAAAGTAAATAGTTTCCTAGAGCCCATATTACAATCCCTGGGAAGTTCCCACTCATGCCAGAAAGATAACAGATCCCCAGTATTGAGGAGAAAGAACGAAAGAAAGAAAGAATGAAAGAAAGAAAGAAAGAAAGAAAGAAAGAAAGAAAGAAAGAAGGAAGGAAGGAAGGAAGGAAGGAAGGAAGGAAAGAAAGAAAGAAAGAAAGAAGCAAGAAACACTGAGTAGGAACTCTGCCTTCTCCATTATGTCCTAGTTTTGTTTGTTCAGTATATTTCCATGTGACTAGTATGTTCACCTATAAGTAAGGATAACAATATTATTATACCAGAGAGTTATTGAGTTAATGAGATAATATGCAATGCACATAATATGCACTCTAGTAAATAAATGTAAATTCCCTTTTCTTTCCTTCTGTAAGTGCCCTATATGACATAATGTAACCTGTGGTCATAGCTGTGCCAGTAGGATCAGTTTTATAAGCATGTGACCTGTGCAGTTTCACAGAGCTCCATCTAAGAAGGAGACCACACTTTGCTTAATATTCTGCTTTCTACAAACTGAATTCATAATATTTTTACAAGGGGTCTATCATTTTCGATTTGTACTTGCTCTGCAAATTATGCAGCTGGTTCTATGTACCAAGAGGGAAGTTGGAAGTAAATGGACTATTCCAGGAGCAGAAGACATTTTGACATAGTAAGAGACCACATGATTTGGAGTTTATAGAAATAGGATAAAATTCTAACTTTGCCACTAACTTGCTTTGTGATATTGAGACTTTTCTTTCATTCTTCATTGGCTAAATTTCTCAGTTTTGACAATGGGAATTTCATTAGATAATGTCACATCTCTGACAGGCCAGGAATCATTCAATTACTCTGGGAAAAACTCCCTGCCCTACAGGCAGTGCCTAAAGACAACCAGTCACTTTCTGCTTTCCCTTTCTACAGCATGGACAGCTATTGTCTGTTGGAGGTTGGCAGAGAGTAGGTGGGGCATGGCAGCAGGGACTATTGCTGCAGTAGCAAGCCCTTTCACAACAGCCCTGTTTTGTCATTTTGCATCCAGATTTCCGTTGGCTAACCTCAGCCTTATCTTCCTCATTTCTATTTCCTCTTCAAGGCACCAAGAGCCCTTCAAAACACATGACCTTCCTGCTCACAACATAAAGACCAGTTCCCTCTGGCCTCTACAGTTTGGCTCAGCACCAGGGAACCTGTGTCCTCTCTGAGACCAAGGCACCACTTCAGTGACAGGTATAGTATCCATTTGCTCCCTTAAATTCCCAAGCTGAGGCAGTGTTCATAGCAGCCAAAGGTAGCTTGGATATGCCCATCCCATTTTCCTTATTCCCATCAAGGATTTGGGGTGAAGGGTAAAACAGATAAAGTTTCTATTGGTCTTCTATCCTGAAGTTTCCAGTGGTCGAGAGAAGGGGGTGTATTTCCTACCAAAGAAGGATATTTAGGAGACAGTCATATGAAAGGTAAAAGTTCTCTGAAAATCTGACAGTTCTAGTTTTTCATTTAACCAATATTTATCTTTGGGCAAGTCCTTTCTCCAGACCATGTTTCTTTTGCAAAAAGAGGAGGCTGAGAAAGGTTAGATGGATGCATCTTAAGACTTAGTTTTTATATCCCTTTTTTGATCATTGCCATTCCTCAGTTGATAAAAGAAATGGGAGAGATGCTTGAATATATACTACCAGGCAGGGTTAACACATCCAGGAGGAGAGCTGGTGGTGATCCATATAGTACTCTTTGAGAGTTATGACTCAAAGATGAAGGTCTCTTTCTCCTCTAGTCTTATATTTGATTACTAAAATTTTGGAATTAAACAGACCCATAGACACTGGATGTGTATAGAAGAAACTGAAGTCCAGAGAGAGGAAGGAAAGGACTTTCCCAAGGTCACACAAAGAAACTGTAGCAGAGCTGAGACTGGATTCCTAAGCAGGGCTCTTTCTGCTCTACCCTAGGAGAAATGAGACACCAAGAAGCAGGAGTTGCCTTGTAACTTACCCAGGTGGGCCTCCTTATACTGGATGCAGTTTGGATTTTTTTCCATAATTTTTATTGGTGCATTATAGTTGTATATAAAGTGGGATTTGTCGTTACATATTTGGACATGCACACAATATAACAATAGAATTTAGCCATTGTCATTTCCAGTATTTCTCCTTTCCCCTCCCGCCTTCCCCTGCCCCCATGCCTTTGCTCTACTGATCTCCCTTCGATTTTCAAAAGATGTCCCCTAAATTTATTTTCCTTTTTTTCTTTCTAGATTCCATGTTTGAGAGCAAACATAGGACCTTTGACTTTCTGAACTTGGCTTAATTCATTTAGGCAGGGTCCTGCAGACTTCTTTTACTCCACTCTTTTTACAAATACTTGGTTCACTCTGGGAATTCAGAATTCCTCAGATGCCTACCTACACTTTCTCTTTCAGGCTCATCTTTTCCAATCCCCTTCACCAAAATTGACCTCAATAATAGGGGCTTTGTGGAGCTCTCTAATGGAAAATTTTGCATTTCAGTGGGGACAAATAATGACTTTTCAGATAGTATAAATATACCAACAGATGAACTTTCAGAGTCCCTCAGTATCACCCCATGTGGGTATCCATCTCTTCTTTCTATGAGTCTGGCCAGTCCTTCTCAAGTGAACCTGGTTTTCTTATGAAAACTCAATTGGAGAAGCATGGACTAGAGCAGCAAGAGTAGAAATGAAACCAGTCTAATTCTAGCTCAGCCTCTTCATTTCTTCCATCAATGCTGAGATAATATTGTCCACAAACTGTTCAACTTCCTGTATACTAGGAATCATTAGCCTCTTTCACACTTTTCTTCCAGGTTTCCTGAGGTGAATGAAGTCAGAAGTGGCATTCAGGAAGCTGTGAATATCTCCAGATTATCCAGGTGTTCTCTCTGCAGCTGGAACAGAATGGAAGTGATGACAGAAGAAAGATACCAGTCCATTTCTCTCCCCCTGCCACCCCAACTCAAATTCTGGTAATTAGCTTCCTTTGCTAGCTTCCATCCACAGCTCCAGTGGCTGAGCCAAAGTCTGATCACATGTAAGAGGCTCTGAAAATCTCACCAAACACTTTCCAACAACCCTGTAAGGTAAGTTTTTTTTGTCCCATTTCTAGAGAAGACAAATTAAGCCCAAAGAAAAACTTGCCCAAGCCACGTTGGCTAATTGATGCTCAAGACATTAGAACCTAAGTTTGTCTGATTCTTTACGCTATGCCATATACAGTTACCATGACTGTGGTTGGGCTGAGAGCCACACTTCTGATTGGTTTAGGCTGAATTGGGTAGGTAGAGAAGGAAGTGTGGAGGTAGAAAAGACTGTTTAGATCCTTAGCTTTGAGGTCACACCCTCATATCAATCTGGAGGGACTTGTCACCCTCTTACATTCCACTAAAATAGTTGTGAAAAAACACTGAGTACTTTCTTGTAGAAAAACTTCTTGGGGCAGTTTTTTTAAAAATTTATTTTTTAGTTGGACACAATAGTTTATTTTGTTTATTTTTATGTGGTGCTGAGGATCGAACCCAGGGCCTCAAACGTGCTAGACAAGCATTCTATTGCTAAGCCACAACCCCAGCCCTCTTGGGGCAGTTTTTCATTCCTGGTAATCTTGAGATGTTTGCCACTATTGATGCCAGTATTTAATATAGAACAGTTACTTTCTCATAGATCAACTGCCACTGCTGGGAAGGGCAAGAATTTTACACTGGTAATTTGGCATTTTTAGCAACAGGATCTTGGTTTTGCCAAGAGGATGCTCCAAGAGGTTCCAGGCCTGACTCTGCTCCTGGAAGCTTTCTTTCTTCCCTGGTAGCTCTGCGTTCAAGATTTCAGTGCCACATGGTGATCTCTACTGCCTTTTTTTTGCTCTGTTGATGTGGCTCACCTCTTATCCAGAGGGATATATAAAGCAGGGAGGTAAAAGGACCAAGCAGGAAAGTTTGAGGGCATAAGAGTGTGATATAGGACATAACCCCTAACTGCAAGTAACTTATTGTATAACCTTTAGCAAATCTCTTCCCAAGATATCTTAGTTCTGTTAAAGCAATTGCTAATAGTTCTTGCTCTAATTCTGGTAGCAGAGCCATCGTTTGAACATTATATATATATATATACACACACACACACACACACACACACACGCACAGTAAGGACTTTACATGCATTATCTTAGGCCATTCTTAAAGTTACTTTATGAGGTAGGTACTATACTTATACATACTTTGTGACTGTGGAAAACAAGAGCTCAGATAGGAAAAATAATGTATCCATGGTTGTTGAGCTAGTTAACATTAGAGAGAATTTGAGCCCATTTTTTTGTTACTTTAAAAAAACTTTAATTTCTCAATCTTAATAACTAAGTCATACTTAACATAGCAACTTTTACCAATGGAAACATTTTCCCTCACATTACTTGTGTTTGTAACCATTTTTAACCTCAAAGTCTGTGTGCATAAGCAAAACACTGTGAGAACACAGCTTGGGAGTATTGGGAAGAAGTGGGAGCAAGGACACTGACTAGGGGACCTGATCTTTTCCTCGAGTCAAGAAGGCAGAATGATGACCAAATTGTCTCCTCTCTGCTGTGTAGAGGAGCTCACTAAAGCTGGGGACACATAGAAATGTCAGATCTATAGTACTTAGACAGGAGGATCTCCGAGCTAAACACTCAGGATCTCTTTTCTCATTAGGAGTCTTCTACCTGGTTTGCTCACTTCTCTATTCTCATGTTGCAGCTGATCCCTGAAGAGGGACCTCTGCAGTTTTCCTGAAGCTACAGATGTGACTTCACTAGTGCTTTCTCTCTCTTTCCTTCTAGGGCCACATCCTCCAGGAAGATCTCTGTCCCGTGGAAGACCCTGGCCTGGCCTCCAGCAGTGCCACGCTCCGTGTATTTGACAAGCTGAGTTGGACACTCCGTGTGGTAGAGTGTCAGTTTGTCAAATACCCCAAGTGCGGCACATGCTTAGCAGCTCCACACCAGGGCAGATGGGATACAACATATTTGCTGCCAAGTGGATGTAAGAATGCTCATTAAACAACAAGGTCTCCTAATTTATTTTTTTGTAACTTTGAGGGAACCCAAGCAATGCATATGAGGGTTTCAGGGGGAAAGTTCAGCATCTCTGATAATTATAGCCCTGGTCTTCGTCTACACACATCATGAGAATGCCTAGGAGCACACAATAGTCTTGAAAAGACATAAGGGATACAGGGATAGAAGTACTCTTTGATTTGTTATTCTCTTCTTCCTTCACATTCCCCTTCCAGAGTGTCACAGTCAAGACACCAGAATCAAATAATACAGGTTATATGAGAAAGCTGGGCATGGAAATCCACTCTTTTTATGTTCATTCTTGTCTTCTAAACACAGACTGGCTTTTTCTACCTCTTCCTTTTTCCTCAACCCTCTTCTTGAAACAACTTCTCCATTTCTCTTGCCCTAATTCTTTCCCATATTTCCTGGCCCCACCACAGTATAGTCTCTCCAGGGACTTTTGAAAGTCATCCCATGCTTACCCTTCTTGCACAGCACTCCTTGCCTGAGTCCTGATATATGCCCCAATATCTCATTCCACACAATATAATCTTTTGGATCATGAGTGAACTTTTCCAAGGCTTACTCTTGAATTCCCCACTATATTGTGAGCTTCTAGAAGACAAGAATATATTTCCTTGATTGTTGTCTCCCCTACCATAACCCCATATTTTGGTTACAGAAAATATTCAATAAATGTCTGCTGATTGATTGACTTTCTACTTAGTTGATTAGTTTTGGATATTTGTGCCAAGTGTCACCCGGTGTTCTGTGAAAACAAAAACAACCCACAAACTATGGAAACCAAAATGTTATACAGTGTATGAGGGAATAGCCAACATGGAGGGCTTTTTCTTCCTGAGAAATGAAGCCAAAGACTGGAGGAAGGGGGAAAATAAGACGGCAAATAAATTGTAGAATCACTTGAATATACAGATATGTGGTACTTTATTGAAGGATTTCTAAGAGTCCTTAATATTCTAATTTTGCTTTGGGAATCTCCAAGACAGAGATATGGAATGAGGGCTGGGGATATAGCTCAGTTGGTAGAGTGCTTGCTTTGCATGCATAAGGCCCTGGGTTCAATCCCCAGCACCACAGAGAGAGAGAGAGACACACAGAGAGAGAGAGAGAGACAGAGAGAGAGAGACAGAGAGAGAGACAGAGAGAGAGACAGAGAGACAGAGAGACAGAGAGAGAGACAGAGAGAGACAGAGAGAGAGAGAGACAGAGAGAGAGAGACAGAGAGAGAGACAGAGATATGGAATGAAGCCTTCCCTATGCCTATCTCTCCACTGAAATTTTCTTGTTTTGTTTTGTGATCTTGGGGATTAAACCCAGGGTTTCATATATACTAGGCAGACATAGGCAAATATCCTGCTACTGAGCTATATCCCCAGTCTTTATTATTATTATTATTATTATTATTATTATTATTATTATTATTATTTTAAATATTGAGACAAGATCTCACTAAGTTGCTGAGATTGGCCTAGAACTTTTGATCCTCCTGCCTCAGCCCCCCAAGTAGCTGGGATTACAGGTATTTGCCACCAAACCCAGTTGTCCAGGGGAACTTTTATTCTCCATGGGATATCTCATGATATTCCATGATATTCTCCTGATACTACATGTAACAAAAATTGAGGGGGCTAGGGTTGTGGCTCAGTGTTAGTGCACTTGCCTAGCATACATGAGGCACTGGGTTTGATTCTCAGCACCACATACAAATATAAAATAAAGGTCCATCAACAACTAAAAAAATTTTTTAAAATTGAGAAACTTCCCTAGACAAACTTCATACCTTCCTTCCCTTCTAGAGAGCCTTCTTTTCACTCTTCTACTTTCCCTGACCAGACAGCTACCTAAGATAGATCCCATATTATAATACCTAGGAATAACTTACTGGCTTGTCATATATGGAAAAAGTTTTTAGTATGGGGACAAATATGAACTCCAGAAGGTGCCTGCTGCAATAAATATGTACTTCTAGAAATTTATCGGCCTAACTTGTGGTCTCTGTTCTACCACTGAAGTATATGTGTAACTTTAGACAAGTCCCTTTTTTCTCTGGCCCTCATTTCCTCATCTTTAATATGGGATTATTAGGATCAGTAATCTCCAAGTTCTTTAAGATGAAACTCTGATATATTCCTGAAGTTTTAAAATTCCTATGGGGTTGGAGAGCGGTCCCTGAATTTGTGATTCATTTTACCAGTGGAAATAGAACAAAGATTGTCTTCTCAACCCCAGCAATTCCTTTCTCTTTAAGGTAGTAGAAAAAGATAATGGGTGTTTTCAAAGGCTATGGGATCTGTACACTGAGCTGTTTCATGAAGGAAGCTGAGGTTTCCACTGGGTGGGGAGCCCTGTTTCAGAGGCTTATAAGTGTGATGGGGAAGAAGAATTTGCTCCTTTCACCAGCTATGTGAATCAAGTATCTAGGGATGAGGAAAACACTGAGGTTTTGACCATGGACTTGGCAGGTTGCATGGTGGTAAATGGGAGGCCACCTCCTTGTTCACTTTTGTGTACTATTTTGACTTCTGTAATCACCCCACAGGGGAAGCAGCTCTTGCTAAACCTGACCTGACCCTGGAACAAGAAGTAGAAATATGACAGTTTCAAGAAGAGTAAAATGATTTTGACTTCACATGATTTACATGGGGAAAAAGAAGCAGTGTAGATATGGCCCAAGACATGTTCTTACAGGAGAGCTCAATTTAAAGGTGCATACATAACACACACACATACACACACACACACACACACACACACACACACACACACACACACACACTTAGTCCCATTCCTGCTTGAGAAAGACTTCAATGCTTTTACCTCCACTCCACATTATAAGAAGGGGCCAGGAGCTAGAGAAAATGACCCATGAAAAATATAAATACCCCCAAATTTTAGGATTTAAAGAAGTAGAAATCCTTAGGGATGATATAAACATACTTTGGAAAGAAGGTAATCCTTTTATCTCTCCATCCATAATTCCCTGAGGAAGAAGTAGAGCTCTTTCTTTGTTAAAATTTCAGTTGACCCAGGAAAAGTCATTCAGGTAGAGCTGACAGGATGACAAGAATGGGAATGGAAACCAGTAGAGTCCTGTTTAACCAAAGATTCACTGTGCCCCAGCTGGGGCTATCTGTGGAGTAAAATAGGAGTGGCATGATGGAAGGGAAGATCAAAAATACAAAGTTGTAACCTGTAATCACAGAGGCCAGGCCCCAACCATTTTGATCACTCTTGTTAGTTAGTACCGTACCTTGAGAGAACAACACAACTGAGGTTGCTATCATGATTATATTTATTGAGCACCAAAGAAATACCAAAGCACTAGACTCACAGGGCAAGAGCAGAATTGAACCCCAGCCTGTGACATGACAATCTCAATTAAAAGCTGTCTATCCCTGGAGAACGGGCAGTGATCCTGGATGCAACTCCTTCTCCGACTGTCAGTGTTGGGCCTCCTTTGGTCTTCTGGTGGTATCTGGAGACATGATGACCAAGTCCTAGTGCTGGTGTTTCACTGGTGTTTGGAGAAGAGCAATAGAAAACCCAGGAAGAGATACTAGAAGGGCTCAGGGCCAAACTCAACAGCTAGCGTTCTTGAGATGCATATGGCTAATTCTTAGGCAAACCAGTCACTCTCAGGAGCCGCAACATTGGCAGGAAAGACACTTTGGACTATCCAGGAAGAGAGGTAGCAGAGAAGGGGGGCATGCAGAAGGCAGAGACTGAATACTGAATAGTTAATTATGTCAACAGAATTTGACCTAGTAGGGGATTGTTAGCAGACACTCTTAACCTCATTGCCCAGAATCTCATAATCCAAGGGAACTGTGTGCAGCAGGCGGGCATAGTCACCATTGATCTGGGCGATGATCTGGTACTCCTGGCCCAGGCAGGGATCGTCAGAGTAGTTGTTGTCCAGAGCCCGGGGAGCTGGCTCATCACTGGAACAGCCACTGGTGTAGATGCCCACTCTCATGGTTTCTCCAGAGTCACTGGCCTCACTGGAAGGCATCCTAAAGTCCAAGAGTCCACCTTCCATGAGAAGTGACTTGGAGCTTACACCCTGGTTTCTCACCCATCTGCCTAAGTTCTTACCAACTGACTCTGAGGCTCTTGCCACCTAAGAATTCTAGGGGCAGAAGGCTGGTAGGTCTAAATCATCTTGTGCTTTCAGTGATCTAGGGCAGAACCTCAGAAGGTGCCTCAGAGAGGATATAAAGCTGTGTCCTGTCACTGAAGGACATTGGTGTTAAGAGTAGCTCTATCTTTGCCACACATCCCACCTTCCTCCATATTGCCTGTCAATGACCAACAGAACTGAGGACAGGGAAGAGGTTATAGGATGGAAAAGGAGATGCTATCTTACCTGCTCACTTCATAGACATGCTCTAGAAAAGAAGGAGGAATCAGGTCAGAAATTTCTATGGACAAGGAACAAGAGTCAAGCATGGACTCTGGATACCAGTCAAAAAATGAAGGAAAGGAACAGAGGGGGATTTCTATGTTTCAGATTTCCAACAGTGGGAGGTATTGGGGAGATACATTGAAGCACAAGGATGCAGATTTGTCAGATAAAGGAAGGGGAAGCATGCTTGATCACTGTTCTATTTGGCATCTCTGACTGGAGTTGTTGCTTGGTGTGGGTGGGGGAAGATCACTGGAACTCGACAGGCTCTCCACCCAAGAATCTGAGTCCTTGTGGGAAACTTGACTTCTGGGCCACAGCCCAGGAAGAAGGGGCTGGATTAGTTTGATGTCAGGGACTATGACCCAAGCCACTCCCAAGTGCACTCACCCCCATCCCATACCCTAGAAAGGCCCTAGAATAGGTAACCATTGCCCCCTAGTGTCTGTGGAGGGAAATTTCCCTATACAGGCTCAAAGGCTTAGCTTGGTACAAAGATGGATATCTCTTGATATCTCTTGATACTACCCTCTACGTGCTTACAATTTTCAGGGGAACAACTGGGAATGCATGCATTAAAAACAACAAATAAGTAAACAAACAGGGTAAGACTAGTGCCTTCTGCCTTTCGGTAAAGCCTTAACATTTCCATGTTCTACTTCCCCCGTTGGCATGGGCACTCAGCACCATAGGGGTTGTGTCTTTTTTTATTTTATACTCCCGGAATCTGGCACACAGTAGGTGTCAGTAACTATATTTTAAATTGAATTGATACATTGAAGATGTCTCCCTTATAGAGAGGTAGAAAACAGGCATTCTGGGAAGGCAAACAAAGAAGGGGAAAAAGCATAAAGGTGTGAAGAATACGGCCTATTTGTTTGACTTCAGTACCTGGCCATGAGGATAGGTATGTTGAAAATACAGGCTAGAGGCATATCACAGAGGGTCTTGAATATAATTTTACATTTTGACTTCTATCCCCTTAGCACTGAAGAGCCATGCAACATTTTGAGAAGGAAACAGGCTAATGTGGTTACTATTTATGCCCAGCCTCATCAAGACTATGATGAATACTTTCCTTTTAGTGCTCTTTGGGTTGTGGCTCTTGGGATTTGAGGTATCTCCACTCCCATGTTTATCCTCATGGGTCACAGCCATGCTTACTGGCCAAGACCAGTATACTTGAGATCCAGAGAATGAGATATTCAGGACTCCCTTCTTTTTGTTTAAAGAGATGCAGGATAGAAAGCAGGCTCTTTGTAAGTACAGGATAATGCAGAGAAAGAGAGAAACTAAT